GCAGTATGATGCCATGAGCTCAGCTCATTCAGATCAGCTGTGAGCAGATAATTTGGGCCTGCAGCATGCAATGCATGAGCAAAAACTGCGAATGTTTTTGGTTTAAAACAGAAAATTTGTGGTGTATTTTTGTACGTTTTTTATGGTTGTATTCTTGATTTCTTTGTTTCAGTCGATAGAATGGAAGCTAGATTACAGAAATAGAGATGATTCCGATTAGTTTCAGGACTGAAAGTAGCTTGGGGATTAGTGTGGACAGTTACAAAGCATGGCTTGCTTCTGCAGTGTTTTAAAAATTGAGGTTGGAGAGTTGAAGGAGGAGGTCTTGCTTCTCCAGGAGGGGATTAGGAGGCTGAAGGTCCACCTCAATGGGTCTGGGAGTGAGTGTGAGGTGGCTGGAGTTGTGGGGAATGAGGCTTCTAGCAGTGAGGTGCAGTCTGTCTCTCGCTGTGAGGAGGCTGTAGGTGGGGAGGTAGCAACAGCTACCAGCAGTGAGGTGCAGTCCAGCACCTGCTACAAGTGGCGAGTGGTAACCAGTAATGGGAGGAGAATCAGAATAAGGAAAGTTAAGAGTGAAGATCTGAAGGTAGGAAATCGCTTCTCTGTTCTTCGGGATGAATTACTTCAGTGGCCAGTGAAGGTAAGGGTACTACTGCCCCTGCTAACAGAGGTAAGCGCATCTTGTGGTTGGTGACTTTCAGGTAAGATATATTGACCGTGCTTTTTGTAACAGGAATAAGAAGATGAGAGAGATGTGTGCTTCCCTGGAGCTGGTGTTGGGGACATAGTTAACAGGCTGGATAACATCATGTCAGGTAATGGGAACAAGCCCATTATCTGTCTCAGTGCGGGTTTGGGAAATGATATTGGGAAGGTAGGAGAGAAGAGCTGCTAGAAAATTTACAGGTCAGCTATAGATTTCATTAATCTAAGGGAGGGGTCCCAATCATATGTAGCATCTTGCCTAGAAGGGGAGTAGGAAATGAATGGTTGTCTAGGGGAAAATTTGGTGTAAATTGCTGGCAAAACAGATACTGCAAGGAAATTGCAATCCCATTCATTGACAATGGAACAAATTTTATGGCAAACATGATATGTATGCAAGGGGTGGGGTACACTCTCTGGGGCTGGGTTGGTAGCACTTGCAAACTCAATTGAGTAGCCATTGGTGAAATGCCTATGAATTTTAAACTGATAGAAGATAGAGGTATGGGTGTGTGTGGGAAGCAAGCAGGTTGCAAAAACTAGGGTTGGAACAGTAAATGTATAAAAGGCATTCAGCATGAAGTTATAAATAAAGACAATAGATCAGGTCAGCAAACAAAGGGGTACAGCAGAGGGAAGCAAGGGGCTAGCTCCCTTTTGGTTTACTATACTAATAGCAGGAGTGTAAAAATAAGATAGATGAGCTAAGATTAATTGCAAGTGCAGGAAACATAGATATTATTGCTATAACAGAGACCTGGCTCAATCTGAAAGAAAAGAGATGCCCTCTGAATGTCACATACAAGGCTATAAATTATTCCACACTGACAGGGTCAACAGGAAGGGTGGTGGAGTAGCAATGTATGTCAAGACAATTTAAATTGTTGTGCTAACAAGATAAAAATTAGAAGCGTCGGCCACTGAATCTGTTTGGTTACAGCTTCTCGGGGGCCGGGGAAAAACAATTTTGGGTGTGATTTACAGGGCCCCAAATTCTTGATAGGGACTGCAGTAAACTTCTATGGATGAAATTCGCAAGGCATCTACATACAAAAATGTTGTGCTAATGGGAGATTTCAACTATAGACAGATTGACTGGAGCAATTTTGACAGGAAATTTAGAGTCAGGTGACTTTCTTGATACGATCCAGGATTGTTTTTTTAAAACAGTTTGTGACAGAGCAACTAGGGGAAAAACCTCCTTGACTTGGTTCTTGCCAGTAGGGAAACACTAATTAATAATCTTGAGGTTAATAAATGAGCTTGGGGAAAGTGATCACAAATCACTCAGTTTTAAATATCATGGAATTCCCCTAATAAGGCAATCAAGTCTTCGTCCCTGACTTTCACTTGGCTGATTTCATAGGACTGAAAAATTTCTTAGGGGGGGGCTGAACTGGAATGACCTGACTAAGGGTCAGGTAGGTGGTGATGGTTGCCGATATGACGCTTTCCAGGGGATAGTTCTAGCTGCTCAGTCAAATTATGTTCCAAATAGGGAAATCAGATCAAACAAAAAATGATCCTAAATGGGATGAACAATAGATTAAAATATCTGATTGGTCAAAAGAAGGCATAATAGGCAAATCAAAAGAGGAGAGGGCAATTAAGAAATTGATATATTCAGTTAAAGAGAAAATAAGAAAAGGGGAAATTTGAAAAGCAAAAAGAGATTATGAGGTTAAAGTTGCAAGAGAATCGAAGACTAACCCAAAAGGATTCTTTCAGATATACAGAAGTAAGATCAGGGGCAAGATAGGCCCACTCAAAAGTTTCCTCGGTCAGCTCACTGACAGTGATAAGGGAAAAGTGTAGAATTTTTAACACATACTTCCTCTCAAATTTTTACACAGGAGGATACCGCGAAAATTCCAGAAATGATAAATTATGTAGAACAGGATGATAATAAACTGTGCATGATTAGGGTCACAAGTGACATGGTCCTTAGGCAAATAGATAAATTAAAACCTAACAAATCCCCAGGCCCTGATGAACTGTATGCAAGGGTTCTAAAGGAATGTAAAGAGGAGCTTAGCAAACCTTTGGCTAATCTTTTCAACATATCACTACAAACTGGCATGGTGCCAGATAAGTGGAAAATGGCAAATGTGATATCTATTTTCAAAGCAGGTGACAGGTCCTTAGCTTCGAACTATAGACCAATAAGCCTAACCTCTATAGTGGGAAAATTTATGGAATCCATAATTGCCGAGGCAGTTCGTAGCCACCTTGAAAAGCATAAATTAATCAACGAATCTCAGAATGGTTTTACAAAGGGGTATTCCTGCCTTACGAATTTATTAACTTTTTTTCACTAAGTTATTTGAGGAGGTAAATCATGGTAATGAATATGATATTGTGTATATGGACTTCAGTAAGGCTTTTGACAGGGTCCCACATCAGAGACTATTGAGGAAAATTAAGGCACATGGAATAGGAGGAGAAATTTTTTCCTGGATAGAGGCATGGTTGACAAATAGGCAGCAGAGAGTTTGCATAAATGGGGAGAAATCAGAGTGGGGAAGAGTCACGAGCGGTGTTCCACAGGGATCAGTGTTGGGCCCCCTGCTGTTCACAATCTACATAAACGACATAGATGAGGGCATAAAGAGCGACATCAGCAAGTTTGCCGATGACACCAAAATAGGCCGTCGAATTCATTCTGACGAGGACATTTGAGCACTCCAGGAAGATTTGAATAGACTGATGCAGTGGTCGGAGAAGTGGCAGATGCAGTTTAATATAGACAAATGCAAAGTTCTAAATGTTGGACAGGACAATAACCATGCCACATATAAACTAAATAAAGTAGATCTTAATATTACGGATTGCGAAAAAGATTTAGGAGTTCTGGTTAGCAGTAATCTGAAACCAAGACAACAGTGCATAAGTGTTCGCAATAAAGCTAATAGAATCCTTGGCTTCATATCAAGAAGCATAAATAATAGGAATCCTCAGGTTGTTCTTCAACTTTATACATCCTTGGTTAGGCCTCATTTAGATTATGCTGCACAGTTTTGGTCACCGTATTACAGAATGGATATAAATGCTCTGGAAAATGTACAAAAGAGGATGACAAAGTTGATCCCATGTATCAGAAACCTTCCCTATGAGGATAGACTAAGGGCCCTGAATCTGCACTCTCTAGAAAGACGTAGAATTAGGGGGGATATGATTGAGGTGTATAAATGGAAGACAGGAATAAATAAAGGGGATGTAAATAGTGTGCTGAAAATATCTAGCCTAGACAGGACTCGCAGCAATGGTTTTAAGTTGGAAAAATTCAGATTCAGGAAGAATATAGGAAAGTACTGGTTTGGTAATAGAGTTGTGGATGAGTGGAACTCCCAAGTACAGTTATAGAGGCCAGAACGTTGTGTAGCTTTAAAAATAGGTTGGATAAATACATGAGTGGATGTGGGTGGGTGTGAGTTGGACCTGATAGCTTGTGCTACCAGGTCGGTTGCAGTGTTCTTCCCTTAAGTCAATGTGACCTGACCTGACTAGGTTGGGTGCATTGGCTTAAGCCGGTCGGAGACTTGGACCTGCCTCGCATGGGCCAGTAGGCCTGCTGCAGTGTTCCTTCGTTCTTATGTTCTTATGTTCAAAGTAGCGGAAATTTTCAAAGTTTTGCTGATATTCCAGAGTACACAAATAATGTCAACTGTCCAATACGCTTCCAACTGGCCAGTCTAATATGCATTACGGAATGCATTAACATTATTTATACAGTTATTACAATATTGTAATAGTCTATGCATAAGAGTAAATTTATTTTTTTGTGTGAATAAAAATTCAAAATGAAAAGCAAGCGTAATATAAGAGCGGCCTGGAGACATGACTAAGGAACAGAGGAAATGTTTATTTAGTGCCAGGAATGCCTACATTGTTTATTCTGGACCTTATTTTGTATGAAATTAACTAAACCACTGATTTCTGATCACTTTATTTAGTGGTTGAAATAGGTAAATGGGCGGTTTCTTGTATTCAATCGACAGAATAGAAGGAAAACTAGCAAAATAGCCAAGAGTTTGGTGGACTGAAACAATGGAATTGGCCAAAAATAGAGTGAAAAGAGATCAAAATCACTGATATGTAAATATCGCTGAGACCACCAATTTTATGAGAGCATGATTCTTAAAGTTTTCCATAATATTTCATAATTTTGGTTTCATCACCTTTGGAACAAAAGATTCCTATCATTTTACAAGATAAAATAATTTTTTTTTACATTCTTTGACACCAAGAGCAAGTTTGAGAGCAGTGGTCTTGACAGTGAAAGGATCAAAAAGTACCAATTTCTTTGCCACGAAGACCTTGTGGATGGCCTCCTCTTCGACCTCCTCTTGCACCACCTCTCCTTCGATATTTATTACCTCGGCCTCCATCACCTCTGAAGCCACCATCACTGTAGTTTCCTGTGCATTACAATTCAGATGAAAATAACAATTAAATACGTATTAACTTAAACTGTAGTTATGTTTAAATAATATACTGCACAATTTTTAATTTGCCTTAACAAAACTGATTTCAGTACTAATAATTTATTTTAAGTATTTATTGATATATCACATTACAAGCATGTTGATTTAATATAGTAATTTTTTGTCTTTACTTTATAGCCTATTTAATAAACTCAACATTCTAGAATAACACTTAGAAAACCTATACAGGTCAGCCATCATTAATCCGGCATCACTGGGACCTGTAGTGTGCCGGATTAGTGAGTCTGCCGGATTATAGAGCAGTTAGGTTAGAATACACTTAATTAATCTATCAACAGAGATTCTCTCTGCTACATCTTTCTCATTTTCATCACTGCTTTCTCCTCCACTGGCTTGCTGCTGTGGATTTACAACCATCTGCACAATTTCTGATTCAGTATAATGATGAAATTTGAAATTATGCTAGCCGAAATTAGTGCCGGAGTACTGATGGAACCAGATAACTGACTGATGAATTAGTGATGGCCGACCTGTATTTTGAAAACTCGCAAGACCCAAAATTGAATTCCAATTCTGGTTTCTTACTCTGCATAGATTAATACGCAGTCTGAGGAGGATCCCAGAGTAAGGATCTAAATACACCTGCCATCCGACTTACGACCTGCTCGACTTACAACCACTCGACTTACGACCATGTTTTTTTGCCAAATTTCTGGGAAATAAACAACTATTTGTGTTGTACACAGTGTTTATCCTAAACCTTACAGTATAAAATACAGTACTAACAGCATAAAAAGTAAAGTAAAACATGAAATACCAAAATAAAACAATAAAATAAAGTCATTACAAAAATGTGATGTTGATATTCAGTAGTAAAGTTCAACTTACGTCCATTTCGACTTACGACCGGTTTCTCGGAACCGAACTCGGTCGTAAGTCGGATGGTAGGTGTATTCAGTTTTATTTCTTGTCTGTTTTCAAAATTTAACTTTTCTAAGTGATTTAGAAGTGTGATCTTGTACATATATTTTTTTTTCTTAATTCCAGCATAAATTAATAATTATCAATGACAGAAAATATGTAAAATCAATATCTTACCTCTACCCTGTCTGCCATACATGCTACTGGCACACAACAAGCTGTGGAATAAAACAAGTACTTAATACATTAAACCAAAAGACTTAACTCTGATGATAAAATGAAATTCAATTATTGGCTAACAGACCACCATGTATAGATACATCAGGTTATCTAATCTTTATCTTGTGGTTTAGGCATGAACTTTACTGATTATTTAATGTCCTCGATTCATAATACATATACAGTATTCCTTAATTTATCAACAATTTTTGGTGGCCATATTATTAAAAACATGAAGTAGGAGGTTGGTAGACAGCAACTGCCCAGAGAGGTACTACGCACCATCCTGCCAAGTGGGTGTAAAACAAAAGCCTGTAATTGTTTTCTGTCTCAAAACATGCAAGATTTTAGGTACGTCTTGCTACTTCTACTCACACTTTAGGTCACGCTACACATACATGTGCATTCATATATATATACACAAGCCTCTGGGTTTTCTTCTGTTTACTTTCTAGTTCTTGTTCTTGTTTATTTCCTATCTCCATGGGGAAGTGGAACAGAATTCTTCCTCTGTAAGCCATGTGTGTTGTAAGAAGCGACTAAAATGCTGGGAGCAAGGAGCTAGTAACCCCTTCTCCTGTATAAATTACTAAATTTAAAAAGAGAAACTTTTGTTTTTCTTGTTTGGCCACCTCACCTCAGTGGGATACAGTCAGTTTGTTGAAGAAAGATGATGATGATCATCATTAACCCTTTCAGGGTCCAGAGGCCAAATTTCAAAGTGTGCACCAGTGTCCAAGAATTTTCAAAAAATAATTTTCTTATTTTTTCTTATGAAATGGTAGAGAATCTTTTTCTGAAGGTAATAAAACAAAAAGTATGAAATTTGATGGAAAACTGACAAAATTATGCTCTCGCGAATTTTGATGTGTCATCGATATTTACGCATCAGCGATTTTGCCAACTTTGACTCCCATTTTAGGCCAATTACATTATTCCAGTCAACCAAATTCTTAGCTATTTCACAAGTATTACTTCCATCGAATAAGCACAAGAAATCACCAAGTCAACTGTTTCAACTACAAAATAAAGTGATTGGAAATTGGTAATTTGGCCAATTTAATGCAAAGTTCAAAATATTCCAATTTCAAAATAGGGTCAAGAATAAACAATGCAGGAATTCCTGGCACTAAACTAACATTTCCTCTGTTCATTAGTTATGTTTTCAGGCTTTACAAATGAATTCCATTTTGTTTTTTTATTCATATAATGAATTTTTACTCAAACCAAAAAATAGAAGATTTACTGTTATGCAATATTGTAATAATTGTATAAATAATATCACCACATTTGTGAACGTATATTAGACCCACCAGCTGGTGTATATTAGATGTGTGAGGTCATCTGTTTACTCTTGAACATCGGCAAAAATTTAACATTTCCGCTACTTTGAGCTCAGTTTCAAGCCATTTCCAATACTAAAACCAATCAAAATCATCTCCATTTCTGTAATATATCTTCCATTCTATGAAATGAGACCAAGAAATCGCAAATACAAGTATAAAAAACATACGAAAAAACATTGCAAATTCGCCGTTTTAATCGAAAATTATGGTCTCATTTTTTTTCTCTCATTATGCACTGTGTTGCACGATTTGTTTTATGTGGTGCACACATACCACACAGATGTATTCTCTCATATCTAGGCCCAAATTTACCACTCACAGCTTATCAGAATGAGCTGAGCTCATGGCGTAGATCTCAGTAGTAGTAACCAGTTACCAGTCTCAGTAGTAACCAGTTACCAGTAACCGTCCGTTGACTCAACGACCAACCGTCTTGAGTCACGGTCTCCATATTGTGCTGAGCTGACACTATTTCAAAACACCCACTACGGGGTACTGGCCAGCCGCCTAGTCAGTTTTACGAGTGTAGCCAAGGAGATAGGTAATCGGCTGCGGGCTCTGTCCACATAACAGTAATTATACGTATAACAGCCTACGTGAGTATTTCTACCCTAATCCACGTATCGAACTCCCACATGATAAATGGTGTGCAGCGGTGTGGAGCGTGGTTTTTAACGTTTTTAAGGGTAATTCAAGGCGTTTGAAGACTGTTGTGAGTAGCCGGCAGGGTCAAAGGTGAATGCCCTCCCCTCACACCCTCCAGCCAGCAGCTTATACCCTCACTCACTACCTACTGCCTGCAAGCCTGTTGCAGCCGTTTCAAGCTTCCTGGCTTAGTTCGTGTGCTAATTGCTTCAATCTCCGAGGGGTTGACCCGGATTTTGCAATTAAGCCAGTCAGTAAGCCAGACTGTGGAAGTGAACGCCAGTCAGCCTATCATCCAGCCTGTCTCCTGTCATCCAATGGTCCTAATCCAATCCAAGTGTATCCAACTACTAGCGAACCTTGGGAAAGAGTTGCGCTAGATTTGTTAACTAATTTCCGATGTTCCCTCCAAGGTAACAAACATCTGTGTGTTATGGTAGACCATTTCACCAGATATTGCGAGTTAGTTCCTATTGCAGATAAGACTGCCGAGACAGTAGCTAAAGCGTTTAAAGAACGCATTATCTGCAGGCATACCACTCCTAAGTCCCTAGTAACAGATTAATGGAGGTGAATTCTGTAATGAAATTCTTGAAAAATTTTTGTACCTTGTACAAGATCTCTAAATCCACCATTGTTCCTCATCATCCTGCCAGCAATGGTTAGCGGAACGAACCAATAAGAAAGTACTTGATGTATTGAGAGCCACTATCAATCCCAATAGTGAAAAATTGGATGAAGTTATACCTGATGTGCAGTGTGCTATAAATTCTGCTTACAAAGTTTCTATAGGTGACACTCCACATATGCATTGTACGGTGTAGATAAACGTTTGCCTTATGATTGTTATATTCTAATCCGAAACCAAATTACAACCCTGATGATTTCGTAGCCCAAATCGTACCACTTAGCTCAAAGTGTTTTTAGAAGAATCCGTGAAACACTTCATAAATCAACAGCAAATTTACAAGAGTCGCAAACACTCGATCAAAACCATCCAAAATCAAAGTAGGGTTTGAGAGTTTGCTGATTAACTTTAACAAAACGTCTGCAATGCCAAAGCTGATCAAAGGTTTGTTGGTCCTTATCGCGTAGTTTTAACATATCACTGGGAAATAAGTATAAGGTTAGAGAGATTTAGTACTGGTCAGTATAAAGAATCGCATTTGGATCATATGAAGTTAGTATGTGACGATAATGATGTTCCAACCCAGACTAATGTGACAGACTCTGACAATCCTCCTGATCCCCGTACTCTCTTCCTCTATACTCAGTCAGACATCAACCTGAATGTCGTTATTCCCTACGTACACGACAGGTATTGAGAAATCCTCAAATATCATTTGTAAAATTCCAATTCAGATTTGCCCCAAATACAGCATGAGTTAGCCAATGCTACAGAATTTGATCCTCCCAGAGATGACACCCATTCTGCATATGCCAATCTTACCCTAGCAGAGTTTGGGGTTAAATGTAAATAACCTGTATAGATGAATAATTACAGTATCAACTTATCAGTATTCAAGAATTTTTTTTTGTGTTCATGTTCTCTCCGCATTCTGAGAGTTAACAGTCTAGATTTGCGTGCACCGAATCTGCCTTCTGTTAAAAACTCCTTTCTTTGTATATATTCCTTCCTCAGAATCCGTAGATCACACGAATACAGATCGATCGATCAAAAATTTTTGTTTTTATCACTTGTAATCTCAATGTTGAGTTCGTTGTTCATTTGTTGAGTTTTAAGTTGTACTATAGTATACCTTGTATTACATTACAGTTTCAGTTACGTAAGCTTTCATTCCAACTACTTATGTATCTATAATGTTTCAATGTTGTGTACTTTGACATTGTTTAGAAAACAGCCCAAGCCGTATACCTGCCATCTCTAGTTTTTTTATTAGTTGTATGTCGGGACGACATACGTTAGCGTCGCCGAGCTCTCAGTAGTAAATAACCAGTTACCAGTCTCAGTAGTAACCAGTTACCAGTAACCGTCCGTTGACTCAACGACCAACCGTCTTGAGTCACGGTCTCCATATTGTGCTGAGCTGACACTATTTCAAAAACCCACTACGG